CAAACGGCAGTTAAGTTGGCAAGAAAAAGGGCTTAATTGCTTTGATCCCAGAGTTTAAGGGCTTATATGCATCAATTAAAGTCTAGGGGCTTAATAGTGATTCTGGAATTAGTTCATGGGCTTAACTTATGATTTTGCCAATTCAAAATAGCTTTTTATTTTATTTTATTTTATTTTATTTTTTGAACGGACTTTCGATTTTGGTGGAAAATATATAAATAAAGATATTAACTATTTATATATTTCTATTTAAAAAAGGTAATTTTATTAATATTTAATAAAAACATTAATTTTTATTTTTTGTTTAAAAATATTAATTTTTTATTTTTTATTTAAAAATATTAATTTTTATTTTTTTTATTTAAGAATTAATTAGATAATAATACTAATATGAAAAATTAATTTTTATTGTTAAAAATTAATATTTTTAAATAAAAAAATATAAAATTAACATTTTTATTTATAAATTGATAAAAATTAATATTTTTAAATAAAAAAATATAAAATTAACATTTTTATTTATACATTTTCTTTACGTTTTGAGGGAATGGATTCAAACCCAACACTTTGTTTGGGGTGCACTTTACTACTACGGGACTTATAATTATTGAATCGCTTAATTTAGGTGCAAATTCAAAAGAGTTAATTTGTGTTTAAACACGTGAGGATTTAAGTGAGCTCAAGATTACTTGTTAGCTGGAGTTAACATTTACTTTAATTTAAATATAAGTTTTATTTTATAATTTTAAAATATTTTAATAATTAATTATTTAATTAAAATTTTTTCTATTTTTTAAAATTATTGTAATATGAAAAGTTTAAACATATTATATTTAACAATAAATAATAACTATAAATTTTATTTGAATATTTTTATTAATAATCATAACATAAAATATGTCATTTATTCAAGTTTACCTTTTTATTCTTCTTAAATTTATAAGTTATTATATATTTAAATTTAATAAATATAAATATGTAATACAATTTATATATATAAATTCAGTGTTGACAAGTAACTTACAAATAATTATAAAAACTCGAATTCAAACTCTTTTTTTTATTTTTTATCAATTCGATATTAGGCTTGGCCCTAGTCATTTATCAAATGAGTCAAGTTGATGTTAAGTTTAATTCAAATAGTTCATGAGTTACTCACAAATTATTATATTTGTTAATAATTCTAGGTATTATCATGTCCACTAATTCTTTTATTAAGCATTAAAATTGTGTTTAAAAAAGTTCTCTCATTTTAAAAACTTTTAGATTTTTTTATAACTCTTTTTTAAAAATTATAGGTAACAAGACTCATGAATTATTATTATTATTATTATTATTATTATTATTATTTTCAGTTAAAAGTGATAAGGTGCAATTCAACCTCTTTACTTTAC